ACGCAATCGACCACACCCGGCCGAATAAGGAGGGTACTACGGTAGACAGCCCCATACTGCTTAGTGGGAAAATCGGGACGGACTTAATAAAAATCTTCGTAGACGGGGGAGCCAGCCACAGCCTCATCAACACTGCCACAGCACGAAAACTGCGACTGCCACTGGACAGATGTTTACCTGAGATCGACGCAAGACTGGTAGACGGCACGCCGCTGGCAATACGGGAACGCGTAGACCGGGTTCGGATTCGATGTGGGGGTAACTTCACGTTTAGCCAGGAAATGTTCGCAACGACCCTCGACGGAACCGATATTTTACTCGGGCGTGATTGGCTGCGACGACACAATCTGCGAATCGACTGGACGACGGGTGAATGCACCGTGCGAGTGAACGGTAACAACATCGCCTTACCTCGCTGGGGCTCACCTGAGTCTTCGTCGGTGCGTGTCAACGCGATCACGATGAAACGCGCCGTAGCGGCAGGAGCTGACGTGTACGCGGTCGACATTCGGGAAGCCGAGGCAGCAGACAAAGGAGGGGATTTACAGAAACTACTGGCCGACGTACCGAGTGATCTGGCAGCACTGTTGAAGCAGTACAGCGACATCTTCCCGGACGATTTACCGACGGGACTGCCACCTCAGCGACCGCACGACCACAGGATAGAGTTAGAACCGGGGGCACAGCCAACAGTACAGCGACAGTTCCGACTGACCCAGCCCGAACTGGACGAACTGAGGAAGCAGCTCGATTACCTGCTCGAGAAGGAATTCATTCGCCCTAGTTCGTCGCCCTTCGCAGCACCGATACTGTTCACACCGAAAAAAGACAGGGGATTTCGCATGTGCATAGATTACAGAGCACTGAACAGGGTTACCATAAAATCCCGCTACCCCATCCCGCGAGCTGACGAACTGATCGACCAACTGCGCACAGCCCGGGTTTTCTCGAAAATCGACCTCCGAGGGGGTTACCACCAGATTCGCGTCAATCCAACCGACTGCCCTAAGACTGCATTTCGAACACGCTACGGATCCTTCGAATACACCGTCATGCCCTTCGGACTGACCAACGCCCCCGCCACTTTTCAAATGACCATGAACGAAGCTTTCCGCCCGCTCTTAGATAAGTGCGTCATCGTATACCTGGACGATATATTGATTTACAGCCCTGACAGAACACAGCACTTACAGGACATCGAAACAGTTTTTAAAATACTGAGTGAGAACCGCCTACTGACAAAAGCGTCTAAGTGTGAGTTTTTACAAGACCGCCTGGAATTCTTGGGACACGTTATTTCAGCTGCAGGAGTGGAAATAGACCCGAAGAAAATTGCGACGATTCAAGCATGGCACGCGCCGACCAACTTGACCGAGTTGCAGAATTTTTTGGGGTTCGTCAACTACGTGCGCCGGTTCGTCCCCGACATGGCGAAGCTGACTGCCCCGCTGACAGACCTGCTGAGGAAGGGGGTTGAGTACACGTGGGGGGAGAAAGAGCAAGCTGCCTTCTCGGCCCTCAAAAACATTTTGTGCTCACCGCCCGTGCTCCACATCGCAGATCCTCACCGTCCGTTCGAGCTCGTCACTGACGCAAGTGACATCGCTGTGGGAGCAGTACTGTTGCAGGACTTTGGGAACGGCCTTCAGCCAATCGCGTACGAGTCCCGCAAGCTGCACCCGCCCGAACGCAACTACCCGATACACGACCGCGAAATGTTGGCGATCGTGCACGCGTTCAAGGTTTGGCGGTGTTATCTGACTGGCGCCGACGTGACAGTACGGACAGACCACCGATCACTACAGTATCTACGCGCCCAACCAAATCTCAATCCGCGACAGATTCGCTGGTTGGACTACCTCGAGTCCAACTTCCACTACACGGTTACGTACAAGAAAGGCGCCTCCAACATCGCCGACGCACTCACTTGCCCTACCGCCCAACTCCATGCCATCCTACTCGCCCAGACCAACCCGCTTTTAACAGGCCTATTCACCCACGGATACCGCACCGACCCGTTTTTCACGACCGGAAATTCACAGCAACTGGCAGAAGCTAAAGAAGTTTATTACGTCAAAACAGGCACTAACCGCATCTGGGTACCCGCGTACTCACTACTGAGGGAGCTACTACTGCAGGAGGCACACGACGGAATTACCTCGGGACATTTTGGGGTAGAAAAAACGCGACAGCAACTACAGCGGTATTACTACTGGCCGGAGCTGTTGACCGACGTGCAGCAGCACGTGGGCTCGTGCCCCACGTGTCAGGTGATGAAGAGCTCGAGGAAGCGGAAGGCGGGTCAATTGCAGCCGATACCACCGCCCGAGCGCGCCTGGCAGCAGGTTACCATGGGCTTCGTCACAGGGTTACCTTCGAACCCTGGGGGTAACGACGCGGTGATGGTCGTCGTTGACAGGTTGACGAAGATGGCACACTTCGCTGCGTGCAAAAAGTCGATCTCAGCCGAGGAGACCGCTCGCCTGTTCATCGCAGCCGTTGTTCGCCTGCACGGGATACCAGCAGCGATTATCAGCGACAGAGACACGAAGTTCACCAGCAACTTCTGGAAAAACCTCTGGGAGTAGTTCGGGACCAGGCTACAGTTCAGTTCGTCGTACCACCCCGAGACCGACGGTCAAACGGAGCGGACGAATCAGACAATGGAGCAGTTGATTCGTGCCACGTGCGACGACCCCACGACTTGGGAGCAGCAGCTGCCGCTGATTGAGTTCGCGTACAACAACGCCACGTCAGCGACGACGCAGCAGTCACCCTTCTACCTGAACTACGGGCAAAATCCTACAGTGCCCATGACGCCGAGTCCGGAAAACCCAACACCACACACACAGCAATTCGCCGAAATTCTGCAAGCTGCCCGCACCAGAGCCGCAGAAGCAATTAAAAAGGCAAACGTCATCGCTAAGCGCAACGCTGACCGCCACCGCCGCCCAGTCACCTACCAGTCAGGGGATTACATACTGCTCGACACGCAAAATCTGCGACTGCCCGACGTACCAAAACTTCGACCGCGATACTGTGGCCCATTCCAAATCAGCCACATGATTACACCAGTAACCGCGCACCTACTGTTACCAACCGACTGGTACATCAGCCCTTCATTCCACGTCAGCTTGCTCCGCCCATACATCCCAACCACAAGCCAACTGCCTCGCCACCGCCCGCCATCCATGACTCGCCCTGCATCAGAGCCGATCATCGAACCCGAAAAGATCCTGAGTCATCGGATTCGCCACCCCACGGGAATCAGAAGGATTGAATTCCTCGTTCGCTGGAGGGACCGCACGCCAACCGAAGATAGCTGGGTGCCCCTGACCAACATCGAAAACCACCCTGCCCTGCAAGTATACCTGAGGAGCCGGGGATTCCGCGATATAAACGCACTCGCGTAGCGGAGGGGGCTTCTTGAGGGGGGGGGGGGGTAGTGTAAGGAATTTTCTCGGCATTCCTTACGGAGCCCGACTACATCGCGTACAGCAACAAGCCGTTGTTCGCCCGTTACTGCTAACGGGACTTCGCCAACTTCGCGCGCACTGTTTGCCAAACCTCGCACTGCTGGCCCGGCCGTGTCGGCCTACGCTTCGGGACTAGCCCGAGCCTCGCTGCCAGCATAGCACTAGCTAGCTCGCACGCACCGCGTTACCGTTTGCATATCTCGCATACAAATGTTCGCTCATGCATTCGCTCACATCCTTGTACTCATTTGACACCTTAGTGCAATTCTCGCTACTTCGATTCATTGCACCCGTAACAGTCACTAAATCAAATGGCTAAGGTACCTTGGCTTTTCTTTGTTTTCGGTGTCCAGTGCTTCAAACTCGCGTAAAAAACCAAAGTGAGCGGGTGTATGATATACCGCAAACCGATTCGTAACGGCTCCAGCGGGTACAACTCTCCCACACAAACCAAGCCATCCGGTGATGAAATTTCTTGCGATGCGACCGACAAAGAATCAGCCAGAGCAATTTCGCACTTCCATTTCAATGGACTCGATTTCCTTGCTTTCCCTGCCTTACCTCCCATCACCTCCCCTGCAAACCACTTCGTGCTCGAAACTGTTGCATCAAATCGATACCTTTCGTGGCGTAGGCTATCGGACGACCAGTGATTTATGCGCAATCAAAACAAAGAGCGAGATGTCGCGCGTCTGCGTGTGCGCAGTGCTATGTCTCCTAGTAACGGCTTGCTCATACTCACACGCAGCGCATGCCTCCGTGTCGTCAAAGACGAGTAGATTTTTTCAGCCTGCTCCTCCGGGAAGTCCATCAGGAAGGCCTAATACGACGCATTTCCGCGGTCCGCGCGACGATGAGAGCGTTGGGCAGCACTTGAGGGCGAAGAGACGCACAGAGATCGGCGAGCACGCAGACAGGAATGGAGCAGCCAAAAGAAGGTTGATGATGAAGAGTTCCGCGAGAAGGCGAGGCGTCGCCGGCACAATAGAAGCTACATTAGGAGCTAATTCAACGGGTTCAAAGGCTTTGAGAGACGCTTACTTGAGGAGGGAGAAAGGCGCGGGGCGGGGCATGGCCAATGTTGATACGCAACGTGCATCAGCATTGGCAGGAGCAGCAGGGATAGAATCTACGGCAGGAATTGGCAAGCCGACATTCGGCATTTCACCGCATTGGTGCGCGGGCGGGCGGTGCGGCGTGCTGCATCGGCCTATCCGCGTGTTCGTGATGTGGTACGGCGTGTTCTCCGAGGCTCAGAAGCAGACGGTTCGCTCCTTCGTCGCTTCGCTCAGCCCCAACGCTGACGCCGCCGTCACTGGTGGGTAGCCCGCAAAGGACCCCCTAAAATAGCCGCCGCGCATTCTCAGGAAATGCTGTGGATAAATTTTGGCCCTCCTTGTAGTGGCCCCCGTTTCCCTTTCTCCCCCCCAATGATCTAGTATTTCCCCCCCCCGAATCCCGCCCTTCCCTTCAACCCGAATCCCAGCGTTCCCCCTATCCCCTTGCCCCCACATTCACTGGCAGTACCGCTGTGGTGGAACGTGAACCGACAGTACCACGACCAAGCTGGACGGCGGGTGGCGGAAACCGTCACGTGGGGCGGTGAGACGGACGACGCGGGATACTCCCGAGGCGCCACGCTCTACGACGCTGACGTCACGGCGCTCGTCGCTGACGCCATCACGAGCCGGAGGCTGGCTTATGACGCGGATGGGGTGTACTTCGTGCTGTCGGACGCGAGTGTGGCGCAGGCGGGCTCCGACAATCCCCAGGAGGACCGCTTCTGTGTGGCGTTCTGCGGGTGGCACTTCTTTGGCTCAGCGCCTGGCTTTGGCACGTTCATTACTGCGTGGACCGGCAAGGCGGACCTTCAGGTGCGTGGGTGGGTGCGTAAGTGGGTGGGTGCGTGGGTGGGTGGGTGAAAATGTGTTCTGGTACGTGCGTGGGAGGGGGGGCATCCCTGCTGGTGGGGTGGGTGAGCAGGTGCGTGAAAGGGTTGGCCTCGTATCCTGAAAGCGGGAGAGCTGATCATCTGGTTGCTCCTAAAACATGCAATCTTTCGTAACGTCGTCACCTTATGTGGCCGCCTCCCTTCCACCCCCCTTGCAGTGCCCCACGTCGTGCATAGCAGCGGACATCCGCAGCAACGCGTCTCTATCCCCCACGGGCGACCCCGGCATGGATGGCCTGGTGTCTGTCTTCGCCCACGAGCTCGCAGAGGCGGCTGCCAGCCCGTTCGTCTCCACGTGGTTTGACAGCGACGGGGAGGAGAACGCCGACAAGTGCTCGTGGACGTGAGTGCACAGTTCACAGTGCATCTCGTGTCTTGTGAGGCGCCTCAATAGTCGCCGACAAGTGCTCGTGGACGTGAGCTCACAGTGCCTCTCATGTTTGATTATACCCGTGTCAGTTTTGAGGCGTCTTAGTATTCAGCGAATGCGGCTTCCAAATGGTCTGTTTCTGCGTCACTCATGTCTGCACGGGGCCCTCTGCCTCCGCTAAGGCCCCTGCCTCCGCTTACGCCCTCTGCCTTCGCTTACGCCCTCTGCCTTCGCTTACGCCCTCTGCCTCCGCTTACGCCCTTTGCCTCCGCTTACGCCCTCTGCCTTCGCTTACGCCCTCTGCCTTCGCTTACGCCCTCTGCCTTCGCTTACGCCCTCTGCCTCCGCTTACTCCCTCTGCCTCCGTTTACGCCCTCTGCCTTCGCTTACGCCCTCTGCCTTCGCTTACGCCCTCTGCCTCCGCTTACGCCCTCTGCCTCCGCTTACGCCCTCTGCCTTCGCTTACGCCCTCTGCCTCCGCTTACGCCCTCTGCCTCCGCTTACGCCCTCTGCCTCCGCTTACGCCCTCTGCCTCCGCTTACGCCCTCTGCCTCCGCTTACGCCCTCTGCCTCCGCTTACGCCCTCTGCCTTCGCTTACGCCCTCTGCCTTCGCTTACGCCCTCTGCCTTCGCTTACGCCCTCTGCCTCCGCTTACGCCCTCTGCCTCCGCTTACGCCCTCTGCCTTCGCTTACGCCCTCTGCCTCCGCTTACGCCCTCTGCCTTCGCTTACGCCCTCTGCCTCCGCTTACGCCCTCTGCCTCCGCTTACGCCCTCTGCCTCCGCTTACGCCCTCTGCCTCCGCTTACGCCCTCTGCCTCCGCTTACGCCCTCTGCCTCCGCTTACTCCGACATACATAAGTGAGAAAATGCAGGTCCAACCCTCTTGGCCTGGTCCAGTCATCCCTCCCATCCCTCGTGCACTACCCTCCCCCATCCAGGTTCTCTACCATTCGAACAGGCCCCCCCATCAGATACAACCTGGTGGGGTCAACGCCTCCAAGTTCACCCCCCCCGCCCTACCACCACAACCCCCCTCATTCCCCTCTCTTTTCCCTTCTTCCTGTCCCTCTCTGCCTCGCCTCTGCAGGTTCGCCCCCATTCTTACGGACCCATCAGAAGCCAGGTACAACCTGGTGGGGGTCAACGCCTCCAAGTTCCTCATCCAACACAAATGGGACCTCCTCTCTGCCTCCTGCAAGCTCACCCTACCATACCCACCGCCCCTCACCCCTCCACCACCCTCGCAACGCCTCCTGCGGCCCTTGCCCGCCTCCCCTCCACCCGGCACCATAAACCAAGCGGCAAAGAGCATTGTGTCGAGGGTGAAAGCGGTGCTGGCAGGGCGAGGCAGACCGGGGAGGAAGAGACCCCCTCGGTCACCCGTGGTGAGATTGCAACCCAGCAGGGGTAAAGGCGGATAGGGACTGAATGTGGGCAAGCAGAAATGTGGTTACGGTTGTCTGTCAATGCATCATGCCTTCCTGAGTGATGCATTCTTGTGTGTACTGTATTAGCTTAAAACTCACAACACACCAAGTGGTCATTCCATACTGCGCATCGCATTTATACACTCCACAGAAAGGCACATTCGACCCACAAGCAATCAAGCGAAGCAAACCACAATTGAGCAGCTTTGCCAACCAATCGAATGGACAGCACAGCAGGCACGGCAAAAAGCCCTTCACTCTCGGTCCATGCCATCCCCAGGTCCAGTCCAGAGCTGGCAGTGCAGGCGGCAGTGGTGCTCCATGCGGTGCATGAGCGGCAGCAGCAGGCACAGCGGCCACACAAGCCCCACGGCCCACTTGCAGGTGGACCAGAGCGCATGCACAAGGGCCACCAGGGCGGACAGCAGCAGCACTGCCGGCATGGGCAGCAGCAGTGGTGGTTCCTTGCCTTCCCTGCCCTGCTCTCCTGCCCATGAACCATGCTGCTGCACTGCAGACCCACTCCGTAATGACTCGTGGCCTTGCGGACTTTGCTGCTCGTTGCCCGAATCCCTGCTCCTGCCTGCTGCTGCCCCTGAAAACTGCTCCTGCTGTGTCTGCCCCGTTTGCTGCTGCTGCTGCTGCTGCTGCTGCTGCTGCTGCTGCTGCAGGTGAAGGAGCACACCATCCACGGTGTGTTGCAGCTGAGCCATGCCTGCCAGCACCGCATGCATCTCCCTCCGCGTCACATACCCCCCCTCCGACCCCCACCGCCCCTCCACCTCATGTGTCACCCCATGCCCCTTCCCCAACGCGCTCCCACGCCCCGACCCCATGCCCACTCCCTCACTCGCACTCCACACGCCCATTCCCATCTCCTCTCTCACACTACTCATGCTGTTCCCCCGCCACTGCCGCTCGCCCCTCCTGCTCGTCACCAGAGCCTCATGCACACTCTCTAATGGCCCCACTGACCCATCAGAGCAGCTTTCCCATGCTGACGTGGCAGCAGTGTGTGCTGACCCTGTGGCAGAGAGACTAGGAGAAGCAGCGACCTCGCTCCCTACACGCCCCCACTCGCTCCCTACACGCCCCCACTCGCTCCCCACATGCCCACCCCCGCTCCCCACACGCCCACACTCACTCCCCACTTGCCCAACCTCACTCCCCACACGTCCACACTCGCTCTTAGTCCTATACAGCAAAGCTTGGGCCAAGCCTGTCCCTGACGCTTGGGAGGAAAAGGTGGGGGAGGGAGAAGGGCGGAGCGAGCTTGGGGAGCCTTTGACGCCTTCAATCCCACCCGCAGCAGCCGTAGCAGCCGCTGCTGCTGCTGCAGCAGCAGCGGCAGCGGCAGCAGCGGCAGCGGCAGTGGGGGTAGAGGAGGAAGAGGAGAGGGAGAGGGAGCGAGTGATGGAGCCGAAGCGGCGAAGGTGGTCCTCTGAGGCCCCCTCTGGTAGCAGCGGCTGCTGCTGGTGCAGCAGACTCACACTGTCCACTGCCCTCACTGCCCCTCTCTCCCCCTTTGCCCCTCCCTTTTCCCCTGTTTCTCCCTTTCCTCCTCCTCCTTCTCCTCCTCCTCTTTCCCCCCCTCCCCAACCACTTCCCGTTGTCGCCACCTCTCCCAGCTTGTCCTTGACACCACGTCTGGCTTGTCGCCTCCCCCCACCCAAGCTGCGCCCTGATTGGCCGGCAGCGTACAGCCCACGGGGTCGGATGAGCGCTGCTGCAGCCTCAGTCGCGGCGGCTGTTGCTTCTGCTGCTCCCACCGCGCCTCCCATGCTCCCAGCATGAATCACCACCCCCTCTTCGCCCCCTCTACCCTGCCCCATGGCCCCTCCCCTCTCGCTGCTCCCTGTGCTCCTCTCCTCATCCATCTCACTCCTTGCCGCCTCCGAGGCTGTTGCCGCTGCCACGTGTCCGACATGCGTTGGCTGGTGCTGCTGAGTCAGCCGCAATCGTTGGCTCCCCGTGTCGCTGACTTGGCTGGTAAGGCTCTTATCCGAATCCACTTGTCTTATTGCCGCTGCCACTTCTAGTAAATCGTCAACGTCAGCAGCGAGCGAATCTGGATGCGCCACGTCAGCTCTGGCGGGAGCAGGCGACCAATAGCGGAGCTGGCTCATCTGCTCCTCTTCATAGCGCTGGAGGTGCTCTATCTGCGGTTCAGTGCGGGGATAAAGAAACGTGGTGAGATGCAACGTGTAGCCGCATGTAAAAAAAAAAACGTGCGATTAGGGTGAGGGGCAAGTAAGGCGATTTCAGGCCTTAGCCGTAGAGCCAAGGCGAAGAGTTAAGTTACAGCCAGAGAGAGACAAGCCCGCAGTCGACGCGTGACAAGTCACGAGGACGCGGGGTGCGAGGGGAAGAAGATGCACCTGCCCTGCCGAGCAATCCGACCCGTCATCCCGACGTGCCGCGGCGGCGGTAGGAGCCGACGTGCGCTTGAGCAGCACGTGAGCCATTCGGCTCCTCGCCGCACGGCGATGAACGCGACGCGCGTTGTTTTCTTCTCTCGTAACGTACGGGATCTAACGACCGTCTCAGAGGCCTGCGACGGATTGCGAGAGTTAGGGGGACCGACACAAGCTGGTGCAAGAAACATAGAGGTGGTTTTGACGGGCAAAATTGTAGGGCAAGCAGTTGGTGATGGTTTCGATATTTTGTGGATTCAGTTGGAAAATCTGGTGTAGTGTTTTTTTTCGAATTCATTTCCCAAATTGAAGCTTTGAGAAGCGGGTACAAAACCATTCACCACCACCTCTGGTTCTCATTCCTCGCACTGCTTTTTCGCGAGCGTCATCGACGTAGGTCTCGCCACTTCTTCATGCCCTCATTTGGATTTTTCCGCACTTCGCTAATCGCTGCGCGCCGCGCTGCTCACCGTTCTCCTTCGCCATCGCATTTCACGAAGGTGGTTACCTCGTCTACTGTCGTCCCACAATCGCTAATTGGCCTCGTTTCATCCCGTAGTGTGACAATGCCGGGGGGGGCAGAAGCGGCAGGTGATCCGGGATTCACGGCAGCGACCAGCGCTGCTGCCGCCACGTCACGCGTAGATTCGTCACCGGAAGGCGCCACGCAAGCCACGTGGACATACCGATCGAATCCGTTCATTCGGCGTGACGTGGCGGAGATCGTGGTGGTGCGGCACGGCGAGACGACGTGGAATCGCGAGAACCGCATGCAGGGACAGACGGAGTCCGACCTCAGCGACGTCGGCCGTGCTCAGGCCCGCGCGGTGCGCCCCGCCTCGTCCCTCACGCTTGTCTTTGAATGACTCATCCGCCCTTTCCCCAGTTCTCCAAGCCTCCATGCCCGCTCGTTACATGCCCATTCACTACATGCTCGTTCTCCACCGTTTGGCACGCCGCCCGTCTTCCCCCCGCACTTCCTTCCCCTCATTCAGGCTCCCATCCGCTCCTTCCCCTCTTCATCCCACCTCCTCGCTCCTTCCTCCCCTCTCCATGCCTTACCTATGCCTTCTCCATGCCCTCTCCGCCCGCCAGCTGGCAGCTCGCTTCGCCGGGGGTGACCTGCCATTCACAGCGCTGTATTCGTCGGACCTCAGGCGGGCGGCAGAGACGGCGGAGGGGGTGGCAGAGGCGGTGGGCATGCGAGGAGAGCAGGTGGTGCGGCTGCCGGGGCTCAGAGAACGCAACTTGGGGGTTCTGGAGGGCCTCGTCCGGGAGGAAGCTTCTCGGAAGCACCCTGAGGCCTACGGCATACTGACCTCAAAGGACTGGAGTCAACCCATTCCTGTGTGCCACTCCTTTGCCGCCTCTTCTCCCCCTCTCCATCATCGTTTTTGTCTGTTGCCTGGCCGGCCCGCACTGTGCCTTCTCTACCCCTCTCACGCTGCAGTGGTTTGCTTGCGCTCTTGTTTCTGACTCTGTCTGACTCGTGTGAACACAAGGGAGGGGGAGAGAGCTTGGAGGCCATGTATGGGAGGGTGACAACAACCGTCAATCGCATTGCCAAGGAGCACCTCGGTAAGAGCAGGAAAGCAGCACTTCCATGTTTCTTCGCCTTTGCATATGTGTAAATGATGACTTTTGAAACCTGTTTGCAGGCCAAAGGGTGCTCCTGGTGACTCACGGTGGAGTGTGCAATTGCATTCAAATGAAGGCATCAGGAAACAGGCATGCAAAGAAAGTGTACAACACCTCGATTGGTATTGTTAGAATAACACCTCCAGACAAGTGGACCATCTTACGGTGGGCTGATGTTGAACACCTCAAAGCTGTAGACTATGATAAGCAGGCTTTTGGAGGTGGGGCTGATTCTGGCTAATGTGTTTATGCGTGTACTTATACGTTAAAAAAAGTATGTACCACAAATGAGAACGAGTTTATCTAGGGAGACATAAAATATAAATGTTGGAATTGGAAGGAAAAGTGGTGCAAAATTTTCAGGCACCTAAAAGTTACCTATGGTGTCAATTTACGATAGGGTGTAGACAGCATTCTCAAACTATCTTCCTTGTTCTGCTCAACGTTTCCCAGCAAAACCGATAGTTTGCTCGCCAAATCCCCTCGAATTCAGGCACGGAGAACAGAAATCACCCTGCCATTGGGGAGGCGGCAACCACAAAAGGTACGCAACCTGGAGTAGCCAGTCCGTTGCCGCCAACACGGTTTTCAAATCCCTGACGTGGCTGACTAGCCCGAGGTGTTGATTGGACGGTCCCAAGAGCCAGATCGACGATAGCAAGGATGCAATTTTTCCCCACCCAGCCAATCGCAGTGGATACCTGCCTGTTTCCAAGAGTTGAGGGCAAGCTGATGGAAAGTGCAAAACTGCCCGGACCGGTAAGTGCCACCACCATGCTGTTCGCTGGGGCGCAAAAAACTTGTGGTCAGATCCATACGGCATGTGGCGAATTCTCCGTCACCGCAGACGCGTGCGAAGTTCTCACAGAACAGGCTCTCGCGAAAGAAAAAATTGCGGGTGGTGGTGGGACCACCACTCCCCCCTAGGTCACTTTTCTCACCCGCCCGCTTGCTCCTCAGGGCTCGGTGCGCCACGGAGCAGAAGACAACGTCTCAGGGCAGGTTTTGAAAATTTAGGGGGCGCTGCCTAGAAAAAGCGACGTTCCGTTCGTGTGACTAGGGATGAGGGCAGGGCACGGGCAGAAAGCATTATGGTGATGGCAGCAGAGGGGCGCGGGCAGGCGGTCCGCGGAAGGTGCAGCATGGGTGACCGGGAGGCACAGATTTGCACCAGCGCGCGCAAGGATGAAATCGAGGAGGTTGGTGGGCGGAGGAGAAAGTGCGAGTGAAGGCTCGAACGACGCGAGGAAGCAAGCGAAGCCGACAGTCATGCTTCTTTGCCCCACCTCACATCCACGTCTCCCTGCTGTCAAACTTGCTTCTGGGGAGGTAAAGGTCATGTCCTAACTCGCTGAGCAAGACCGATCCCTTTTCTCGAGATCACCGTTTTGAATTGTCCACATACTGACTGAATTCCAGTGAATTGCGACATAGGCGTGTGGAGGCTTAGATACTAGTGGCCTCCTTCAGACCCATGGGTCATGCAGTGCAAGCCCCGGCCATGGCTGCCAAGAGTTCGCTAGCGAGCCACACTCTGCTTTCCTCGCTCGCGACTCCCTGCGGTCAGCAGCCCAAGTCACGAACTGTACGACAGTCGACGCCCACTGCGCCAGCACCGTCAGAGACCCGATGTAGTCCGAAATTAACGACGCCGTTTCTTCCCGCGAAGCCCTCTCTTCTTCGCCAGTCGCACGTGCGACATTCCACCGCAGTCCACGCCTGTCGACCGCTGCTCGTGCCGCCATCGTGCAGCGGACAGGCCTTCCATACTTCCACTGCGTCATCTAGACCGTCCGTCCCTAGCCACGCCTCGAGCCAGCCGGTCAGCGACTCTTTAGATATCGACGATGCTCCGCGCGAGGAGTCGCAGCAGGGCGCAGCTCATCCCGGCAGGGAATTGTTGCTCGGGAAGCGGTCGCGCTCTCGGTCGCACGTGGCGAGAGCTCTGCCGATCTCGATACACGACGTGGAAGGGCCGCTCCGCGACATGCTGTTCGCGACGATCGGCGCCGCGACGGCTCTCATGGCGTCGGGGTGCATCGCGTTGCTGTCGAAGCGAAAAGAGTCCAAGGTACGTGGATTGCCGATTCTAAGGGGGGCCTAATTGCCCCCACGCAATCGAAGCGAGCCATGCCATGCCAGCTATTCCATACCATCCTCCTTCAACGCCGAGCTCTCCTGCGTGCAAAATCCGTTGAGTTGTCGACGATTGATTGGTTCTCGAATCCACCATATACTCGCTTCGCGCCCTTTCCGAATCCCCGCAGGTGCTCGCAGAAGCCAAGGAGCGGGGCCCCGCCGCCTTACCCGAGGTCCCCCCGGCGGCGGATCCCAACAGCGCAATGGGCGGCGCGATGGGCGGCGCGGAGGTGGGCGTGGGCGGGGGCAAGGAGTCAGTGGAGTGGGTAAACATGGTGCTGCATAAGATGTGGAAGGTGTATCGCCGTTCCATCGAGGCATGGCTCGTTGGGCTGCTACAGCCGGCAATTGATACGCTCCCGCTGCCCGCCGTCGTCACGCGCGTCGAGATCGCCGAGTTCAGTTTGGATTACGAGCCGCTCGCCGTCCGCAACGTGCAGCGCCGCGCCAGCCGACGCGCCAACGACCTTCAGTAATTTTCGGCCCCTGCTCTTGCCCGTTCCCGTGCCATACCCGCCCCCATGCCCGCGCCAATGCCTTAAATTGCCGCACTTCCGCCTGCGTCCATGTCAGTAAGGTTCCTCCTTCCCCCCACTTGCCTCACCCACCCCGTCCACCCGCCCTCACCCTGCCCACGCCACCCCTCTCAGGTACCACGTGGCGCTGCGCTACACGGGCGACGCGCGCTGCCTGCTGCTGCTGCACCTGCGCGTGGCGGGGGTGGACTTCGCGGTGCCGGTGGGCGTGCACGACCTGGACGTGGACGCGGAGCTCTGGGTGAAGCTGCGCCTCACGCCGCGCAAGCCGTACGTCGGCACGCTCTCCATCGCCTTCGTGCGCCTGCCCACCATCAAGCTCGTCCTCGCGCCCTTCCGCATCGTCAATCTCTTCGGTGAGTGCGCTGCGCGCCGAGCCCCCGTCTCTGGTTGCTTCAGGACCGACGTATCTTTCAACGTCCGTGCTGTCGCTGCTTGCCCTTTCTTCTCGCACCCCTGACCTGCTGCGTTTTCTCTGTTGCTTGATCATGCGAGCGCTGCTTCCTCAACTCACCTACGTTTTCTTCCCGTCTCCTCTCCTTTCTCCCTTTCCTTGGTATTTCCGCGCGGGTCCGTCGCTCCCCGCGTCTCACGGTCTTGGGATTGCCGTCGTTCAACGCCGTGAGCAGCCATTCCGTTCCTCTCCAGGTTAGCCCATCGTTCTGACGCTCGCTCCTTGTAACCCGCTTTCCCCCAACCACGCTTCCCCCCCCCCCTCCCCTCCTCCCCCCGCCATCTTCTTGTTTTCTGCATTGGCAATTGCTAGCTTGAGTGACACCCTGTGCCTTTCCCATGTCCCACCCTCCCACCACACTCCCACCACACTCCCACCACACTCCCACCACACGCACACCACTCACCACACTCACACCGCCTCCTGTCCATCCCACTCCCCTCCGCCCCCATTTCTATCAGCTTCCTCTCCAAGCTACTCACAGTCGACCTGCCACGTCTGCTCGTGCTGCCACGTCATATCACCTTCGACTTCCTCCCGGCCGGAGAAGACCCCCAGCAGCACATGGCGGCAGCAGCGTCCGCGATGGTACTGGATCTGCTTAAATCGGAGACGTTCACGGGGCTGGCGGGGCAGCGGCCGTCGTCAGCGGCGTCAGGGCTCGTCCCCACGCGCATGGAGCCCAGCGACTCGTTCGTGGGGGAGCTTTCTGTCACCCTCTGCGAAGCGCGCAATTTGCCATCTTACGGCTTATCAGGTGGGTGCCATGCCGTCTTAAGGCTTATCAGGCGGGCGCTGGGCCAGCACTTGGCCTCAACTCTCGTGCCCCGCATTCCCATTGCAACAACTCTATTTGACCTGTGTCCTGTGTCTGGGCGTGTACATGCGTGCAGTGTGGAGCAATCCGTACTGTCGGTTGATGGTGGGCGATGTGATGGTGGAGAGCAAGCGCAACAGCGAGACGTCTCACCCGTCGGGGGCGAGGGACCCGGTGTGGAATCAGGACTTCCACTTCTGGGTGGAGGACCCCGTGGGGCAGAAGCTCACCGTCATGCTAAGGGACTCCATGGCGCTCAACCGCAACATTGGCTTCGTTGAGGTGCGTTGTGCTGCACTGTGTTGTGCATGTGGGGCAGAAGCTCACCGTCATGCTCAGAGACTCCATGGCGCTCAACCGCAACATTGGCTTTGTCGAGGTGCGTTGCGCTGTGGGGCGCCGATTGGGATTGTCTTGGTTGAGCTGTGATGCTATTGTTATTTGTGCCGTTTTCTGGTGCCGTCTTGCTTTCCTCTTTTTCGCCAGTCTACCATCCCACATGACGCCATCATGCCATGACACGCTGTTGCCTTTGCTGATGCACCACCACCCCACTTCACCCCCCTTCGCCCCACACAACACCAGGTGCCCATCTGGCAATTGCAGGACTGTGTACCGCTCTCCATGTGGTTACCACTGTTACAAGACGGCCCCTTCGGCGTCAAACCAGCAGCTCAGGGCGAGATCCGCATTCTCCTCACCTACAAGTCATATGTGGACCGGGACGAATCCTCCACGTTTAGTAACACTGGTGGTAACGCAGTAACAACCGCCATTCCGGCGCCCACCGCCCCTATCGCTTACATTAAAGTGTTTGGAGAGAGTGACTCGGACAGTGATAAGGGGACGGCAGCGGAGGGAGGGGCGGAGGGGGAGGTGGATGAGGAGGCAATGCGGGCACTGCAGCAGGAGCGAGAGCAGAAGGGACTGGATAAGATGGTGGAGGAAAGTATCACTGAGGTGGTGGCGAGTAATGAGGCGGAAGTCAGGGCAGAGGAGGGGGGCGAGGGGAGCAGTGCAGGGAGCGGTGAGGGGAAAGTGGAGGAGAGGAAACCATCGCTGGTTAGTGTGGCAGGAGTGGTGGGGTCAGGGGCGGTGGCAGCTGTGGGTGGGGTGCTGAACGGTGCAAAGGGGTTGGCGGTTGGCGCGGCAGGGGCAGTGGGAGGAGCAGTAGGGGCAGCAGGAGGGGCCGTGGCTGGAGCAGCAGGGTGGATGTTTGAGAGTGTGAGGGGAGTGCTAAGGAACAGGACTAGTGATGAGGTTTATGCTGATCGGGCAGGAGAGGAGGAGGAAGGGAAGAATGCTGTTCATGACATGTCTGCAGCTGCTAGGGACGGAACAGGCTCGGATGTCGAACCTCGGATTCGCATCCGAGCCTTCCCTGTGAGTGACTGGTCGCCGCCAAAGCAGCAGGGCAAGGCTGAGCAACGCGCGACATACGAGGTGGGTGAGTGGGATGAGGTTCGGCAGGAGCAGAGCGAGGCTCGGTTGACGGAGTGGGATATAGAGAACACAGCAGAGCGGCTGTGGCGGCTGGAGGAGAGGCGGAGGAGGAGGGAGCTGAGAGCACAGCGGGCAAACACTGATGCTGATGGTGCTGAGACGGGTGGGAAGGTCAACGGCAAGCCGAATGGGAGGGTGGTGAACGGCGAGGCAGCAGAGGGAGCGGAGGAGAGGGGCAGGTCTGATGCGTTCGGGTCAATGAACGGCGCCATTAGCGATTTCTTTGACTCCATGAACCGCCAATGATGCAAGTGTGATTTTATACCGTCCTCTGGCCCATGTGTGACTGAACGATGTTGGGCAGGGGTGGGGTGTCGAGTAGGAATATTTTTGACATTTGCGTTTAGGCAGGGTGACTTGGTTAGGTCACAAGGGTGGTGTGGCTGTGAGTCACAGCATGGCCGGGTGCAGCTGTTGAGGACCACACATGCCCAGCCTGCCCACTTGCTTTAGTCCGCCTGGCAGAAATTGTTTTGTCTGTTCTCGATGCCTCTGGTGTGGATTGCACAGTAGGTACACAGCTGCCAAACATCAGTCTATTACTGTGAGTTGTCATGATCCAGCCACGTATAAAAGATAGACAATACTTGAATTGTTTCAACCATCTGAGAAAATGACTGCCAGATACGGTATAAGTTCCTATCCACATTCCTAACAGCTGCACACATCATCAATGCTCCAAATTAAAGACATACTCAGTGAGACGCTTCACCTGAGCTAATTGCCTCTGCTCCTCCTCGAGTTCCTTGTCCTTCCCTGCTTGGACCACTGGTGGTGTAAACATGTCTGTTGCAGAATCATATTTCCAGTCCCTGGCCTCCACTGCTCACACTCACCGAGGAACAACGCTTGCATGAGGGGGATGAATTGCACTAGGTTGCAGAAAAAAAGCATTAATGTGTTGCGAGCAGGACAATAATGTGTGTGAAAGGAAAAAAATCAATGTGCCTTGCAAATAAAGAGGAAACAGTGTAAAAAACAAACATGTGCTAGAATTGAGACTCAAGAGACAAAGCAAAATAGAGCTGACAAAGAGTGGAGAGGCAAATGGTAAATGCAAGGGCAAATGGGGCTGAAGGGGAGAGTGCTCACGGAATGCAAGGGCTTCTTGAGAGGTGAGACCGAGAAAGGTGGCAGCATGTGAGGGTGAGATGGTGGAAAAAGAGCGAGCAACAAGTTCCATCATGGTGTGTGTGTATCTGTCTGCAATGGGGGGAAACGGGAACAGGAATGACGGTAATACAACATGACATGATTCGGTGGCACCCACGTGGGGGAGATTGAACACAAATGGCACAACGTGCTATTCAATCTACTTCCAGCCAAAAACACAAAGAAGCACATCGGGTTCACTCTCAGATGGGAACAGCCAGGTGGAGGACTGACTCTGACAGATGCAATTTTGAAGGTGGTTGCAAGTACCTGTGAGAGCAGCGACCATGGGTCGCACAATAGGCGACCAGTGAAACGCTTTCAAGGCATCGTAAACGTCTTGGCTGTCTCGCTTCCACATAGCTTGTCCCACTCTCCACGTGGCTGCCAGCTCAGCATTGCCGTCTTTCACTGACGCAGGTATCCGCTTCCATAAGAACCGCGCCTCATTTCTTTAAAGATACAGAACATATGGAAAGAGGGTGGAGAGAACAATCAGGAAGAGGAGGCGAAGCTTGGGTTGCATCAAACGGAGTGAGGACCGGCAACCACCAGTCGTGAGATATTGCACACTTCGAGACACTACAGAAAACCAGGGACCACACAGCGGCTTCCAGATTCAACCCAAGTTACTGAGGATCGCTTACAAATCTCCATCATGAAGCAAGCCCAGCAGATGCAGCGACTGGATCGTTGCGGGTAGAGCCGGAGATCCCGATGCTGCAGCCTGCACCATGAAGGAGAAAATCAGAAACGAACACTTCACGCGCTGGGCTGGTGAAAGGAGCGGACTGGAATCCGTATCATTACAGGTTCGAACCAGGTTAATACGCGACGCTCTGTTAGGCGGAATTCGTCATGGATGCCTGGGACAGATCATGGTTTAGGCCATTGTCAGACGGCGTCAAGAGGGTCAGGCTGAAACCTACGATACATGACCTGTCCAAGGAAGAGAAGAGTAGAACACGCACACACCTCGAGCTCAAGCTGACCACAGATTTCGGCTATCCTAGCGAAGTCCTTCGCGGCAACAGCAGCCTGCACAGATTCCTGGGTGACGGGGCTCACCGCTTCCACCGCCATCGCAGAAATCTCAATCAAGTACAGAAATGCAAAAAACACCGACGGAAAAACACTGGTCAATACATCAACTGCCTGCCAGATGTCATGTGGTTTCGTGGTGTAGTTGGTTATCACGTCAGTCTAACACACTGAAGGTCTCCGGTTCAAGTCCGGGCGAAGCCATTTTGCGCCCAACGATAATTGAGGCCTGGTTCCTATATTCCTCTTTTTTTTTTTCCGCGAGAGGATTTACAGGTGCCTTGATAGCTAAATCTTTGATCAGCAAAAGGGACTTCAACTTGATTGAACAAAGTATGTACGCTTTACAGAATACCATTCAGAACACGCTGGTAGTAGTCATACTGCCGGGTACTCCAGGCATCAACACTCTTGCTGATGAACGACAGGATGAGCGAGACACATTGCTGCAGAACATGGACAAAAATGGTTAGTTTCTGAGCTTGCATTGCAACGAGAACAATCAACAGTCTTACCTCCTCTGTTAGTGTAAGGTGGAACCGCCTCCTCAAGTTATGTAGCACTCGGTGCTTTGCCTTGAAGCAGGGACACCGTGTTTGCTGAAAACATCACAATTACATGTCAGTGGGAATTGTGGAGAACCGACTGTATACCACGCTTCAAGTAAAAGTCATCACACACCTGCATCATCTCAACCAGCAACAAGATGCGCTCTGCATGTTTGCGGCATGTAAGGAAACCTTGTATGCAAAGAACCTGCAACAGTAGACACAGAACCGATTAGGGGGGGTAAATGAGAATGATATCTGCACACAGGGAACATACGTGCAGAGCAGGACCGGGAATAAGTGAAATACAAGGACAGCTCACTTTGAAATAATCAAATGCCTCGCTTGGGGAACCGTCTGCATCAGAATCCATAACCTGAACAGTCCACAAAGCAGATGGCTACAGGTCAAGGGATCATCAAGCAGATGACATGCCTTGAACTCCTCACAACTTCTTGAGAGAATTGACGCTGAGAAAACATCGGCGTCAATTCTGCTTCGAAACTTATTACCCACCTCAACCATTTCACGGGTGAGCTTGAAGGGTGCAGTTTCGAAGTTGACAGAGCCAGGTGAGTTGGAGAGCATGTAGCCATAGTCAATGTGGATAATGTGGCCCTGGTCATCCAGAAGGATGTTGCCATTGTGCCGATCCTTCAGCTGCACCACGAAAGTACCAAGCAGTACTCAGACAATGAGTCATTCAATTCAGAAGAAGGTGAAAGTAGTAAGGGACCTCACCTGAAGGAGGTAGCAGACAACGGAGTAGGCTGCCATGCTCTCTACAAAGTTCTGTTGAGCAACGCGAAATTCAGGAGTCCCATGCTTGAATTTCTCGCAAAAATACTGCCGCAAGCTCTTGATGTGGGGATTGCGGCTCTTGAGGGCGTGCAATGAGATCTGCACAGAGGAATCAACATGAGGAAAAGATTCTCCATAGAGCCATGCTTTCATTTAGGACATAACGACTCTCCATAAGGACATGACGTCACTCACAGCATCAGTTATGGTCTCAATGAGAGCAGTGCTTCCTGAAGTGACCAGGATCTCATATGGTCTTAGCCACAGTGGCAGCCCTGATTCTTGAAAGATGTCTGCAGGATAGGGCATGGCAACGTCGTTACACATGCTTAATTGTGGACAAGCAGAAGCAAGGAACGCTCAGGTCTGCCACAAAGCCTTGCTCACCAGATAGGTGCGAGACAAGCTGCAAGGCAAAATGCTCCTGCCTGCAATCGTCGCCACTCTTGACAATTACTGACCGCAGGTCCCAGTCTGGCGATGTGCCGAACTTGGACGACTGCCGTATTCTTGCCTTGCGACTCTCCCAACTCTCATCCACTCGTTGTCTCTCCAGAAGTTCCTGCATCCCCCTCAGGGTAAAAAGGGATTTCGTGATGAGTTTTAAAGAACACAGTAGAGGTACCTGATTGGTTGCAGAATCTGAAGCTCAGCAGCACAGACCTGAGCGGGGCCGACTCCTGACGAAGGACTGGTGACAGGCATGCCTGGAGGAGGCCCTTCGCCTTGTTGGGTGACTGCCTGCCATAGGCAATGGAAGTGAAAGGCATGAGCACCTAAACGATGCTGATTGTTCCAGAGACAATCTTAAGTTTTACAGGCTAGCTGATATTATAGAACGTAAGGTGCAGGGGGGGCAGGAGGCACGTACCCGGACATGTGCGATGGCAAGGCTGCTGGGCACTCTGGCTCGACCACGGGAGAGGCTGACAGCATCCAGGCCTGTGAGGTCATCAAGAGTCACCCCTGGCACCGCCACCAGCCTCACACTCACGTACTCCTCCCACTCTGCCTGCCCTGCATCGCCCTCCTTCTCTGTATCCGTGTTGGAGGCCACAGATGGGGTGTTTGAACTCGGGTTGGGCTTGCTGCCTGCACCAGCCAGTGCTGCTCCAGCTGCTACTGCCTGCTGCACTTGACTCAGGATATCTGTCCTCACACCAGCAGCAGGAGCGGAAGCAGTAGCAGTAGCAGCAGCAGCAGCAGTAGCAGCAGCAGCAGCAGCAGTGGCAGGTGGTCGTTTGCAGACTTCAAGGCTGAGCTGCACGAGGCGCATGCGGGAGTACATGCTGGCCATGGCGCGGTCCAGAGCCATGTCTGACAACGTGCGTGACAGACCCAAGGGGGCGTCCTGCGCGTGCTGAGAGGCGGGGCGCGCATGGCTCCACATGTGCAGCGCCCAGGGGGGCGGGCGCATGGGCAGGGGCTGGCTGGCCGCCAGGGGGATGCCAGTCTTGGCCGGCGCCATGCCCTCGGGTGCTGTGCCAGCCTTGCGTGCACTGCGGGTAAATTAAGAAATGAGCAAACAGATGAGCAAAAGTGCGACTAACTGGGAGAGAGGACATGCAGATTTGAATGGTAAGGAGATGAATGAGTAGCTTTTAGGGCAGTGGTGAGGAGAAATGGAAGGAACTGACCTCAAGGGGAGGCAGTTGAGGACTTCGAGCAGCAGCATGAAGGGCACTCTGTCCCGCGAGCTCATGAGCACAGCCTCGTCCTCCAGCAGCCTCACCACTCTGAAGCACCCCTTGCCCATGGGGAAGAACACTCCTGCGGCACACAGCACGCTGAGAATGAGACACCTCCCCCACGCTCTAGCTAGTACCGTGTTGCAGACAGCTTGCTTTAGACATGCGTTATGCATACTGACCCTCGTTTGCTGGCATGCCCGCAAGATGCGCGTTCAGCTCTGCAAGGGACTGCGGAATGAACACAGTCAGTGCAAAGGGCATTATTGACTAACATGCTGCAGGAAGAAGATGGTCCAATGCGGTGCGGCCGTGCTCACCTCCCCGAGAGCCGTTTGCCTGTCCTCGTTGGGAAAGACATCCACGAGCCCAAAGGAAATGTCTCCAAGGGCCTTTACAAAGTCCAGTGTGGCCAGAACAGTGCTCTTCCTGATGCTGAATGATGGGTGCTTCGGGAGCTTCGGCGCACCATACAGGCCCTCCAGTGAATCCTGCACATCATTGGAAAGCGTGTGAGTCCAAGCTAAGGACGAGCAGTTCAACGACATGGTAATGATGACAGCTCACGTCAGTCTGAGGGGAAGCGGAAGCTCCAATATCAATGATGGAAACGCCCTCTGTTGCTCCACGCCCCTGCGGTGTCCCTGCACTGCTTGGACTACTCTTAACTCCTCCTTTGAGTGCGGAAAAGAGGCCCTCTGCTCGCAGAGACCAGGGGCTTGAAGTCGTTGCAGGCTGATTGTGGCACGAGGGAGAAGGGCATGCCTTTTCCATCACAATTCCTGCATTCAGGAGACTGGCGTCATCAACCCCAGCAGAAGTCAAAGGCACTGCATCTGGGTCAGCATCTTTGCAAGATTCCAGAGGAAGGACTGTTTCTGCTGAAGTTGCAGGCGGTTCTGCATCAGCTTCCTTTTCTTCCCGTGTGTCAGGCTGACAATTCGCAGCTACACTCTCGCTGGCCAGTTTGTTGCATGTGGACGGTGCATGTTCTGAAGACCAACCCCCACTGAAGCTTCTCAGTGAGCCCATCCTGCTTGCAAACTGGTCTGCAAAACTTGGCGGAACCTCCTCACCACCCTCTCCAGTTATATCTTTGGCCTTAGTCGCTCCAGAGGCAAAGAAGGTTGGTGTGCTGAAGAGACTGCGGAGCGCACTTTGCTTTTGGGGCAGCGGGGCATCAACAACCGGGACATGATTTCCTTTGGGGGACATTGTGGCAGCAGCATTCAGGCTGAAAAACGACGGCTCCTTGGACTCCTCCTCTGGCCTGTCTTTGAAAAGCCTCCGCATGAATCCAGGGGATGGCTTAGGGGTAAGCTTGCTGTCCTGCTCATGGATCGACTCCACAGCTGGAGAGGCATCTCTCCTCAGTGAATCTGACAGTTGAGCCGGTGAAGCCAGGAAGCTTGCCATGCTGCTACGGGGAACCTGTATGTCATGGAAATGCTCATGCTCTGGGCTTGCCATATGCTCAAAGCTCACATCAGTTGGACTGATCCCCAAGTCCGACCCTGCTCCGATGGACGCACTTCCCACCTTTGAGGGAGCCTTTCGTCGCAGTGGATTCTTGGGAACCATGCTGACTGCTTGGCTCGCCGCCTCCCCCACCAGCAACCTTGCCCCTGTTGCTGCACCAGCGACTGTGGCAGCCACTCCAGAAGCAGCACCAGCTGCAGAGGCAACCACGCCTGACGCTGCGCCAGCAGCAGTGACAACAACACCAGAAGTAGCAGTGGCAGCGGTAGCAACAACACCAGCCGCACCAGCAGCAGTGGCGACGACACCAGATGCAGCATCTGCAGCTGTAGCAACGAGTGCTTTGAGCACTGTGGTGCTTGATGAGGCCATGGAATCTGCTTGATGCTGCTGCATTTCCTTTCGTTGCCCCCCCTCCATCTGCTCCTCACAACCATCACACCCTGCTGCATCTGTTGATCCAAGCTGTAGCCGCTCCTTTGTTGAACCAGCGGGTTCTGACTTGTCATGCAAAATGCGACTTAAAAGCCCCACGTGCTCATTCCCGGTGTTTTCTTTTGACTGAAACTCATTTTTGTGCGCATCTCCTCCAATCAGAGTCACTGCCTCCTTGCTCATGCCACCAGGTCTCTTCCACAACATCCACTTGAGCAAGCTGTTTTCGCTGTCCGCTGCCACTGCAGCTCCACCCTCATCCTGCGGAGCCTGCTCTGTTGGCTTGTCGGATGGATCAGGCCTTTCAGGTGAGTCAGCACCCGTCAATCTCTGCAGAAGACCTTTTTGAGCATTTGAATCAAGAGGCTCATCGGTTCCATCTCTCAAAAGCTCATTATCTTTTCCTCCAGCAACTGCCGCACTTGTATCAATTACAGAAGAGTCTCCTGCTCCGACAGATGAACAACCATTTTCTGCGGCATCAGATGATTCTGCTGCTGAAGCTGTCGGCAAGCTTCCATCCAGTGAGCTCGGTCCAGCTTTTTCAGAAGACTCCCCAAATAACCGCTGAAAGAAAGTGTCATTCCTATCAGAAAGTCGAAGAGTTTCCACCCCATTGCCATCCACTGAAAAGAGCCGCCTCATGACACCAGTGCTTCTTGCTTCGCCTCCGGAACTGCGTCTTCCTTGGTTCAATGATGGACTGCAAACTCCTCCACTCACTCCTTCCTCTGCAAGCGTTTCATCTGCTTCTGTCACTGCTCCAAGTTCGCCCACAATGGTTGACGCTGCTTCCCTTCTTCCACCCAAAAAGCTCCAGCCAGTGATGTTCTCTGGACGGGTCTGGTTTGTATCAGTAGCAGGCGAGCTGAGCCTCCTTTCACGGAGGAAGCGCCAAAATGTTGACTCATGCGTAGCAACGCCATCACTCGGTTCAGACTTTCAGATTCGTTTCTGAGCTTGGCTCATCTTCAAGAGACGGAACGGATTCAACGCTCTTGGGAGGTGGGAGCTCGCCGGATCCCTTTTGCAAAACTTCTCTTCCCCAAACATAGCTCGGTGCAGATGCTAAAATGGTGTGCTTGCCATCAGCAGCGTGGCTGGAGCTGGAGGAGGCAGAAGGCAGGGGAAGCAGACGCCTTGAGGCTGATGACATGAGTTGAAACACGTTCTGGCGACCGAAAAACGAAACCCGTGGTGGTCTGGGACATCTTAGGCTAGGAACCGAACTCTGCACGGCAGCCTCGTAGAATTTGGCTTGAATGGTGGCAACGGATAGGTCGTTGGGTCGATCAGTGAGCTCAGCTGACAAAAACCAGTATACCTGAACACAGAAACAACAAAACTTAAGTTATTTCTAACAGACAAGTAAAATGCAGCTGTTCTACTGGATTCCTTACCCGCAGGAATGAGTGCAGCGACTGGGAACAGACATCAGTGGTATACTTTTCGAGAGACGGACTTGGTTTGTGGACAGCGAGGTAGCAAATCTGAAATAGGTAGTCCTGAACTCCTTCCAACGGTAACGAGTACATTCTGTCGCACAAATAGTCTCGCACGCCACCGTTCTGATGCCTGAAAGAGCAACGACACGGTCGTTAGAATTCGTCTTCTTTCGTCCTTGCAACGGAGAACTTCGTGTCCATTCCTACTTGAAAAGGTACGTGACGGCAATCCACTCGCAGAAAAAGGCGGAGTCAAAGAAGCGCTTCAGCCAACCGCCATCAGAACGGAAGGTAAGCGAGCTGGGCTCTTCTTCTCCTTCTTCAAGTTCCTCGGAATCTGCAGAAGAGTCAGTATCACTGTCCGCCATCGCGATGACTGGAAAATAGAAATTAGCGTAACGGGTTCACTAAAGAATTAGAAGCTGCCTGACTGACAGAACCTGCGGTGCGACCTACTTGCTGAATACAGCATGCTGTGCAAATGCAAGCTTTTCTTGAACCGTAGTTGTGCTCTGCCGAGCAACGGTCATCACGGTGTCGCTTGTTTCGGAGATGCTCCAATGGCTGATGGAAAGATTCGCCGTTCCGCAGGTTCTCTGACATGCCTGATAAGTACCATAAATGAGATAACTACATATGCGTCTTCATAGTTAGCTGATCCATGCTACACAGATCATTTCTACAGGTTGTGATGTTGAAGGTAAAGACAGTTTATTGCTTAGCTATTTTTAAGCAGAAGCACGCAAGTAAATAGCTTAAACACTGAACATGAATAGTGAGGGTCATAACGTTTTTCTTACTGAAATGGTTGCGCTGCTTTATCTACAACATTTACAATTGAATCGTTCCCAACACCAACCGTCTATGGCTTTGCTTCACAACATTAGCTCCTATTGGATACAATGGCGAGAATGTTGGTGAGGCGCTGTGCAACGTCCCGCATATTTGGTCTTAGAGCTCCAGGCCGCTTCAGGCAATCCATGGCGAGACTGATAAACATGGTGATGGCATCACGTGGGGCTTTGAGTCCCTCCATCACCACTTTGGAGATCTTGCCCTCCATCACAAGCTTGTTTGCCTGCACATGTGATCGAGGATGGAGAGTAAGTAAAGTCAGCCGAGAGAGGAGCTTGCAAGAGACTCCGCACTTTCTGGAATGGTGTCAGGCTGGAAGGACAATAGTACCATACCCAGATGGATATATGTTGGTTGCTGAAGGCGGTGTCACTCCCGTTTAGCACTGCCCGCTTCCCCGACACCATTTCGAGCAGCACAACGCCAAAACTGTACACATCACTTGCGGTCCTTGCAATCTTGCCGTCACCATACTCAGGGTCCAAGTACCCAGGCATCGCAACCTCCAGGTTATCCGTCATAACCAGCCCAAAATCGCCCAGCTTCGCCGTCTTGCCGTCGCCAATGAGAATATTCGCGGGCTTCACATCGCGATGCACGATAGGAGGATAGAGCGAGTGGTGGATGTATGCCAGCCCTTCCGCCACACCCAGTGAAATGCATACGAGCTCCTCAAAGGAGAGGGACACTCGGGTTGCACCAGGAGGAGAGTGGAGGTAGTTGGAGAGGTTGCCGTGGGGGACGAACTCGTAGACAAGGATCTGCTCCAGGTGGCCTGTGGCAATGTTGTAGTCCATGCAGTACCCCAGCAACTGCACCAGGTGCTCGTGCCGCAGCATCGCCGCTTCTCGCACCTGCATGAGGGATGGTTGGGAGGGGGATGAGGGATACAATGTAAAGGGCAAACAGACATGGCACGATGTCTGAGACGAGGTATTGCCTGCTATCACCTCTTAACTGCCAATCACCTTCTCAAACAATCAAGCCCACCTCCACCCAGGGCCCTAGATATCAGACTTTGGAGTCTGATTCAGAGTCCGTTCAGACTTTTTTTTTTTACCTAGTCTGAACTCAAAGAATTTTTTTATGCACCCTGTCTGATTTTTCAGAGTTTTTTTAACTGACTAGTCTGAAATTTCAGAGTAGTCATAGTAGTGCATGCTGAGCCTCAGACTTGTATCGGGGATCCACTCTGAAACCAGTTATACAGGGGTTTCTGCCAGCCTGAATGAAAGGTTATCGGAACGAAACTTCCTCAAAACTTCTTTTCCTCCGGATGAAACTGCTCGAGTAGGGGCACCAGAATACACTACTTTGTCGACGCTATCACGAGAGTGGAATTTATTGGGGGCTTATTAAAACCCTTAAATTGTGAAACTAGATAGCCAATCGCACATGGCCAAAACGATTTTAGCGAATCGCACATGGCGAAAAGTGAATTGGTGCAAATGAAAGCCTTGTCACATATGAGTCTCGTACTTCAGCAGAACCGCACATCATTTCCCCTTGCCAAACCGAGTCAAAATCTCGAAGCTGCAACTTTAGGAGAAAATATTCCGCGCACATACGGTGTACACAGTTGAAAACTCTTGCTGCTGCTGCCAGTGCGCCCAGCACAGAAAAGTGCCGAGCTGCCAGGTCAGATGATTGTGAGCTTGCCACACTTGGCACTTGCACGAGGCCATTGTCTGATGCCCACACCTCGACCCTGACTGCTCAGTGTTCCTAAGGGCGGGTCAAAAGAGTACGTCCGATTGCGGTTCAAAGAGGTTTAGGCTTGATCCAGAGCGGTCTTATTTAAACACGAGATGGTTGAGTGGGGTTTTCTGCGAAAACGTGCAAAGTTTGACCCGCCCTAACTCTGGAAAAATGACCAATCAGAGTGCCCCATTTCTGGCCGCACAATTGCGTTGGTATGCTGTAATCAGCTTCAATGCTATTATAACTATGCTGTTATGAAACTGCATGAACATCTTAAAATTTGAAGTAACTCTGACAGTTCAGACAAAAAAAGTTGTGCTTGTCTGAATTTTCAGACTAAAAAAAATAGGTAACTCTGACAGCCAGCCTAGGAAGAGGGGTGTACTCTGAGGCGTCAGACTACCTCAAAACGAATCTAGGGGCCTGCCTCCACCCTCCCTCCCTCCCCTCGTCTCACCTCCTTCTCCAAGTCGTTGGTGAGGAACTTGGCGCGCTTGATGGCCCACAGGGTGCCGTCGGGGGCGGTGCCCTTGAAGACGCTGCCAAAGCCACCCTCACCCAGCTTGCTTTCCGGGGAGAAGTTGTTGGTGGCGCGGCGAATATCCTCTATGCGGAATGCCACACACTGGTCCAGATCCAGATTTTCTGAGCATCCCTGTTGAGTTTGCACAAATGGCAACAATTATAATGGAATTATCAATTCAGTTCATCCGAACAACAACATCATGTCAAGAAGTGTAAAATCGAAGGTACGACATTTGCTGCATACTGTGCGAGGTGTTTCTAATCAGAAGCACACGAAGCAAAAGAAAGAACGAAATAAAGAAAAATAAAACTATGCAATTTCCTTCTTAAACGGTTCCGCTGCTTCATCTACAGCTTTGGCGCTTGAACCGTTCCCGGCACTACCCGCCCATGACTTCTGCTTCATCAGAGCTCCCACCGGCGCATTTCCTTGTGCAACGGCAAGGATGTTGGTGAGGCGCCGTGCCACTTCCCGCATCTCCGGCCTCAAGGCTCCAGGTCGCTTCAGGCAATCCATGGCGAGATCGACAAACATGATGATGGCATCCGGTGGCGCCTTCAGGTCCTCCATCACCACTTGGGTGATCTTGCCTGCCATCACAAGCTCGTTCGCCTGCACAGGTGAAACAAGAATGCGAGTTCAAACTTCAAAGTTAGCCAAGAATGCAAGGAGAATTTGCTTTGCAAGACGTGGCGATTTCTAAGACGGTGCTCAGCACAAAGGTCCGTCCGTACCCAGATGGAGATGTGACGGTTGCTGAAGGCGATGTCACTCTCATCCAGCACAGCCCGCTTCCCCGACACCATCTCCAGCAGCACCACTCCGAAGCTGAACACGTCACTCGCCGTCGTCACAATCTTGCTGTCACCATAATCCGGGTCCATGTACCCAGGCGTGCCCGCCAGGTTCGTCGCATTTTCCAGGTTATCCATCTTAACCAGCCCGAAATCACCCAGCTTCGCGGTGCGGCTCTCGCCAATGAGAATGTTCGCGGGCTTCACATCGCGGTGAACAATTGGAGGGGAGAGCGAGTGGTGCAGGTATGCCAGGCCTTCCGCCGCGCCCTGAGCAATGCGCACGAGCTCTTCAAAGGAGAGCGACACGCGGGTGGAACCAGGGGGGGCGTCCCCTGCGTGGAGGTAGTGGGAGAGGTCGCCGTGGGGAACAAACTCGTAGACGAGGATCTGCTCCTGGTGGCCCGTGGCCGCGTTGTAGTCCATGCAGTACCCCAGCAGCCGCACCAGGTGCTGGTGCCGCAGCGTTGCCACTGCTCGCACCTGCACAGGGGGTTGGGTGGGGAGGGGGGACGGGGGAGGGATGGTGGATTGGTGCTCCTGGTGGCCCGTGGCCGCATTGTAATCCATGCAGTACCCCAGCAGCTGCACCAGATGCTGGTGCCGCAGCGTCGCCACTGCTCGCACCTGCGCGAGGGGTGGTGGGGAGGGGGTAGGGTGGGGAGGAGGGATGAGGGATGGAGTGACAGGGACAAACAGACATGATGGAACGTGACAAGAGATAAGGCACACTATATTCCTGCTCTCACCAATCTCCTGCACTCGCGTTTCAAACGCTCATTCGAAATATGCCTACTTCCGCTCCCCTCCGTGCCCACATTCCCCCTCCTTCTCTCCCTCCCTTCCTCCCCTCGTCTCACCTCGTTCTCAAAGTCGTGGGTGAGGAACTTGGCGCGCTTGATGGCCCACAGGGTGCCTCATATCACTCCCTTACGTACCCACCTTCAAACCCTCCACTCTTTCCCTCCCTCCCCCCTCTCACGCACCTCCTTCTCGAAGTCGTTGGTGAGGAACTTGGCGCGCTTGATGGCCCACAGGGTGCCGTCGGGGGCGGTGCCCTTGAAGACGCTTCCGAAGCCACCCTCACCCAGCTTGCTTTCCGGGGAGAAGTTGTTGGTGGCGCGGCGTATATCCTCTATGCGGAACGCCACACACTGGTCCAAATCCAACGACCCTGAGGTGGGAGGGAGGTGGGTTTGGGAGGGAGAAGAAAGAGGGAGTGATGTGCCAAACAGGGCAAGGAGAAGCCGTTGGTGGCGCCACACACACTGGTCCAGGTCCAACGACCATGAGAGATGGGGTGAGGGGTTGAGAAGCGGGAAGTGGGAGCGGGGGCAGAGGGAGTGGAAGATGGTGAAGACGATGCAGGGCCTGACCTGTGAAGGTTGGTGATGGCGAGGTGTGATGAGGTGTGATGCGGTGAGGTGTCGGTTTGATGCGGTGAGGTGTTGGTGTGATGCGGTTCGATACTGTTGTAGGTGCAATGAGAGCGACGCAAGGAAGAACAAGCGAAGATGCGAGGGAATGCGAGAGGTGGTGCAAGGTGGTGCAAGGTGGTGCAAAGGTGGTGCAAGGTGGTGATTCTGACTGACTTCTCTTAGAGGGGCGGAGGAAGAAGAAGAGAAGGCCAGCGACAGCTGCGAGCAGCAGCACAACGCCCACCACTATGCCCGCCACCGCCCCTGCTGACAGCCCCGACGAGGACGCTGCAGAGAGAGAGGAGGGGGGTGTGGAGTGGGAGGAAGGGAGATGGGGGATAGAGGGGAGTAGCGAGCAGCAGCAGAGTGCCCACCACTATGCCCGCCACCGCCCCTGCTGACAGCCCCGACGAGGACGCTGCGGAGGGGGCGAGTGGGGGAGAATGGAGAGGGATGGATGGAGGGGGTTGATACGACTAAGAGACAGGGGGAGAGGGGGCTGTGTGGTGCAAATAAAAGCACGCAAGCGGAGGCGATTATCTGCTGGGAAGCCGGGACAGCAGCCCACGCGATAAAAGAAGTGTTTTGAGACGTCTCAAACCATTTGCTGAGAAGCTGGGAGACCAGCCCAAGCCACTGACTGAACATACTGGAAGGGGAAGGGGGTGGCAGCTCGCAAGTGGTGGTGTTGGCAGTGCCGGCAGCAGTGACAGCAACGTAGCCACTGGCGCAGGAGCAGGAGAGGGACGGTGGCCAACCGCTCTGCACCACACACTGCCCCGCACCCGCACCCCCACAGGGGCCCTGCCCTGGCTCTATCCCACACACCGCCGCACACTCTGTTGCTCCACGTTGCTGCCCCACAACCTCACTCCCCAAACAGTTGCCCTCCACTGCCAGCCACGCCGCTGCGCTGCTGCTATTCCCCCCGCTCGCCCCTCCTGCTCCAGTTGCCCCCTGCTGCCCCCCCTGCCATACCCACGCCCACTCAGAGTTCGTTGCATCCTGGACTGCCCAGGGGGGAAGGGACTGGGGTTGGGGGGTCGCTGGGAGGACGAGAGAGGGGATGGGCGGCGAGGAGGAGGAGGAGGAGGAGGAGGAGGAGGAGGAGGAGGAGGAGGAGGAGGAGGAGGAGGAGGAGGAGGAGGAGGAGGAGGAGGAGGAGGAGGAGGAGGAGAGGGAGATGTTGGGGAAGGGTGAGAGGGAGCCATAGAGGTAGTTGCCGCTGAGGTCCAGGCTGATGGGCGGCATGTTTTGGAAGGATGCGGCATCCATGAAGAGCAAATTGTTGCTGACGTCACTGGGAGACAGGACAGGCGCAGAGAAAGGGGAGGCAGGGGGGCAGGGCAGAGATGAAAGATTGGGAGCACATGTTGGATGGGAAGGTTAGGAAGCAGTTTCAACGTAACAACAGGAGGAGGAACAGAGTCAAGGGGGACGAGGAAAGGTGAAGGATGACGGGTGGAACGGACATGAGTTGGACGGAGGAGACGAAGGGCAGACACTGAGGAAGGGCTCCCGAGAAGGCGTTGCTGCTCAGGAGCCTGCAGGTGGACAGAAGGGCAGGTGGGGAGGTGGAAAAGGGGGTATGGGAGGTGGAGGAGGTGGGGAGTGGAGGGTGTATGGGAGGTGGGTCCAAAGAGTCAACACGAGAACGTGGGAGAAAGGAAGTGGTTGAGGGGAGCGAGGAGGTGAGGAAACAAGCAAGATGGATGGTGTGTGTTGAAGGAGTCATGACAGAACCCGAAAGAGACAAGGCAGCCAGCGCAGAGTGACTGCGAAATCATCGGAGCGACTAGCATAGTGTGAATGGTACAGGGATTGAGGTGTGGGCGTTACATGATCTGCAGCACTGATTGGCAGAGGTACTCGGGGATGGGGCCTGACAGCTGGTTGTGGTGCACTGCCCTGCAGGGAGAAGCATGGGGATCATGGGGGTTGGGCATGGGGGTTGGGCATGGGGGTTGGGGACGGGGGTAGGGCATGGGGGTTGAGCATGGGGGTTGGGTTGGGGACGGGGGTAGGGCATGGGGGTTGAGCATGGGGGTTGGGTTGGGGACGGGGGTTGGGCATGGGGGTTGGGTTGGGTGGGCAGGAAGCAGGAGGGCGCATGGGGGATGAGGCCAGAGATCTGGTTGTGGTGCACCGCCCTGCCAGCAGGGACGGGTGGGAAGCACGATGGAGCAAAGGAGGCAACATGGGTTGGCTGAGAGGTTGGGGCATGGAAGGTTGGCGGGCGGGAAGCGAGGGGGCCAATAGGGGCTGGCTGGGCAAGAACTGGGGGGAGGCATGCGCGGGGCAGGGGAGAGAAAGAGCACAGAGCGAGCCAAGCAAGACGAGGAAGCGAGAGGAGTGCTGCTCAAAGTCACACAAGCAGAGAAGCTGGCGCACGACAGTGCGAGGAACAGCATGTGGTGGCACTCACAGCAATGCCAGTCGCTTCAGGTTGACTTGCTGGCTCTCCAGCGTCCCTGAGAGCGTGTTGAATGAGAGGTCGCTGTGGAAGGGAGAGGGGAGAGAGACATGGGTGGGCGGAAATGGGGAGAAGGGACACGTGGTTGGGAGGAAATGGGAGGACGAAGAAAGCGAGGAGGGTTGAGAAAACCAGCACAAGGAAAGGGAGGGTGCAGGATGAGAAGGGGGGGAGAGGGGATGGAGATATTGACTTACACAATTCAAATGGTAGATTGGCAGGGCTTTCATGGTTACCAGGGCCCTCGTGGTTACCAGGGCCCTCGTGGTTACCAGGGCTCTCGTGGTTACCAGGGCCCTAATCGTTACTTGGGCATACGCACATGATGAGAGCTGGGCTGGCAGCAGCGTTGGGCAGAGGGCCTGAGAGGCGGTTGCGAGACACGTTGCTGGGATGATGGGCGGTAGCAGAGGACAGAGAGAGGGAGAAAGGGTGGAGGGGAGGAGGTGAGACAATGTGAGGATGGATGGCGAGGGGGCAGAAATCCAAGATGAATGGCTGGTTGCTAGATACAAGAAATTAATGGTGGTGGGTATAGATAGGGAAGTTGACTGACAGGTGGGAGAGGCGTCGCAGGTTGAAAATCGAGGGAGGCACCGAGCCGGAGAGCAGGTTGATGGCCATGTCCCTGCCATAGTGATGGCGTGGCAAGAGGAGCCGTGGAGAAGATAGGGAGTAGACATGTTATGGCCACAGCGGGTCATGGGGCCATGGGTGGGTGGTTGATGGCCATGTCCCTGCCATAGCATGCTGTGGTGTGGCGTGGCATGGCATGGCGTGGCGTGGCATGGCGTGGTGTGGCATGGCATGGCGTGGCATGGGATGGGCAAGGTAAGGCAATAGACATATTATGGTCGCTGGGGGGCATGGGGCCATGGGTGGATGATGGAGATGCACATGTTCTGGCTCGCGTGAAAGCAGGGGGACGGATGGCCACACGGATGGCCGTGTTCTGTCATGACAGGGCTGGCATGGGATAGGATGACCTGGCCTAACATAGGATGACATGGCATGGGATAGGATGACTGGTTTGCTATGCCATACATATGTGTTATGCTGATACATACAGGTGGGTCATGTTGGGCATGCGACCAAAGAAGGGGGGGACAGAGCCGTTCAATGTGTTGGATGAGATGTCACTGCGGGGCATGGGGGGATGGGGGAGAATGGCAGGGCATGGGGGGTAAATGACAGGGATTTGGGGGAGATGAAGCGATGGGAGTTGAGGGGAGACGGGAAAATGAGGGGGGGGTGTAGAGCAACGGTGATATAGCATGGGGAAATCAATGGTGTGATAAGCTGGTACAATGTGCCCCCTGCCCATGTATCATGCCCCACGCCCATGCCCCACGCACCATGCCCAATGACCCATGCTCCATGCACCATGCCCCATGCCCCATGCCACAAGCCCCAGCCCACAAGCCCCACACCCCACCCCACACGAGCGCCTCACACAATCTCGAGGGACCGCAGAGGAGAGAGGGCCGCTGTGATGTCTCCTGACAGCTGATTGGACGACACGTTGCTGGGAGGGGGCATGCATGGGGTATGGGGTTTGGGGTATGAAGTTAAGGGTGTGGAATATGGGGTATAGGGCATCAAGTGATGGTTTTTGCACAAGGCATGGCGTATGGAACACTGGTGGGCGTGTCACTGGGAGAATTGGGTGGACGGACATGGCATGACATGGAGCGTGGCATGGCATGGCGAGATGGAGCAGTGGCGAGCAAGGGAGAAGAGGGCGCACAGGTAGGTGAGGGAGGCGAGGCGGGAGAGGGCCCGGGGAATGGAGCCCTGCAGCAGGTTGTGTGCCAGGTTGCTGGTCACGGGGGGGACGCGGTGGGCGGGGGTGGGTAGGGGCGGGCAGGGGTGGGCGGGGTGGATAGGAGCAGGAGTTGTCGATAATAAGAAGTGACAGAGATGTGCCTTGTAATCTGATGTACAATGTCCTACGAGCTAACACCACCGAACATGCTCAGCATGCCATCTCACATGCGGACGTGGCACCTCACCTGCTGACATGACAGGGACACCTCACATGCTGACATGTCATCTCACATGCTGACATGTCACCTCACATGCTGACATGTCATCTCACATGCTGACGAGGTTAGTGGGGTTGCTGATAGCTGGCGGCACGGCCCCAGTCAACTGGTTGGAGGAGAGGTCGCTGCAGGTGGGGAGGGCGCCCACAGGGGCAGGGGAGAGGAAAGTGAGAGGCGTCGAGGTAAAGAGTGGAAAGAGGGGTGATTGATGGCAGTGAGTACGGGAGAGAGGCGGATGGGGGGAAAGGCAAGGCGAGAAGAAAAAGTGAAGTGAGATACTCTCTTCACTCCAGCTGGCTCTCCCACCCACAGCCATTGGCCCCATGCATGCATAGTACACAGCAGAGTGAGTGAGGGCATACAGCAGAGTGAGTGAGGGCATACAGCAGAGTGAGTGAAGGGCATACAGCAGAGTGAGTGAGGGCATAAAGCAGAGCGAGTGAGGGCATACAGCAGAGTGAGTGAGGGCATACAGCAGAGTGAGTGAGGGCATACAGCAGAGTGAGTGAGGGCATACAGCAGAGTGAGTGAGGGCATACAGCAGAGTGAGTGAGGGCATACAGCAGAGTGAGTGAGGGCATACAGCAGAGTGAGTGAGGGCATACAGCAGAGTGAGTGAGGGCATACAGCAGAGTGAGGTTGGTGAGGAGCGAAATGAAGGCTGGAATGGACCCCGTGAGAAGGTTGCCCGACATGTTCCTGGGGCAATGGAGGGGGCAGAGGGACCCGGTGGCCGGGAGACGAGGAGAGTATGGGCGCTGATAGCGGAGGAGAGGTAGACGAGTGCAACTGGTGAGGGGTGGACTCGGTGCAGGCGGACTCGGTGCAGGCGGACTCGGTGCAGGGGGAATCCGTGCAGGGGGAATCCGTGCAGGGGGAATCCGTGCAGGGGGAATCCGTGCAGGGGGAATCCATGCAGGGGGAATCCGTGCAGGGGGAATCCGTGCAGGGGAAATCCGTGCAGGGGGAATCCATGTGTTTGACGCAGCGAATCGAGGGATGCGAAGGCGAGGCTGCAGGTTTTCAGAACGAGCGATGTTTGGGAAAACAAAGAGCAAAAAAAACGATCAGAGTGGTGGGAAGGGCAGGCAGGCAGGGCAACGCACAGGTCGTGGAGGTACGTGAGCGTGGAGAGGGAGGGGTCGATCGCTCCTGAGAATCTGTTGTGTGAATAGTTGCTGGCGGATGGAGGAGAACAGTACCAAGGGGATGAACGGGAGGGAAGAGGGGATGGTGATGGGTGCAGGGGGGTTGGGAGACACGGTGGGGAACGGAGAGTGGTGGATGAAAGAGCAGGCATGGGTGTGTGTGAGAGAGAATGGTTGCACTGGTGTGAGAGGATGAGGTTGTTGAGATGATGGGAAGGAATGGTGCTTGGTGCGATGGTGGACGGATTGTCTGTGCAGAATGGTTGGCACAGTTTGTCACAGAGTCAATGGCTGATGCCCATGTGTTGCTGTGGGTGACTGCTGCTCACGCATTCACCACCATGCTGCATAAAAATCTCACGCACATGGTGAAAGTTTTAGGACTCTCCTGTTGCCCCGAAAAGAACGCTCTGCCCGACAAATTGTTGTGAGAGATGTCACTGGGAAGGGGAACAAACGCACGGGACGGGCAGCATTTTAGCACTTCAAAAAAGAGCAGACAACGTGCCATGCGAAAAACAGCTTCCTTAAAACGTGTAGAGAGGGTTTGGGAGTGGGGAAAAGGGGGAGAGTGAGGGTGGGGGTGGGGGGGGAAGGGTGGCGTCAAGGTTAGGGGGTGGGTAAGGTAAGGCTTGGGTTAGGCAAGAGGTGGATGGCAACGGTGGTGGGGGCTTGCCAAAGGCTCAGCTCTCTGAGAGATAGCAGATTGCCTTCTGAGAGATAGCAGATTGCCTTCTGAGAGATAGCAGATTGCCTTCTGAGAGATAGCAGATTGCCTTCTGAGAGATAGCAGATTGCCTTCTGAGAGATAGCAGATTGCCTTCTGAGAGATAGCAGATTGCCTTCTGAGAGATAGCAGATTGCCTTCTGAGAGATAGCAGATTGCCTTCTGAGAGATAGCAGATTGCCTTCTGAGAGATAGCAGATTGCCTTCTGAGAGATAGCAGATTGCCTTCTGAGAGATAGCAGATTGCCTTCTGAGAGATAGCAGATTGCCTAGTTTTGGTGGTGTTTCTCACATCACGACCCCAGCTTTGCTGTGCTCTTCATATTCCATTTGAATGCCCACAGTTTTTTCAAGGGAGAGGAGGAAACGCCGACCTGTTGCATGTGGCTTTGGAGAGTTCTCAGCAGTGCAAGGAGGGGAAAGTGCATCAGAAATGTCAAGGGCAACGTACAGGGTGAAGAAGAAATTGACGTTGAAGTCGAAGGGGATTTCCCCCGAGAGGCGGTTGAATGATGCGTTGCTGTCAGACACACCGGGCCGCACAGGGGAGGGGGCAGGGGCGCATACGGGTGCCCAGGGACGCACAGAGGCACACAGAGACTGGATGAAAATGACAGGGACACGAGGAAAATGATTTGGATGAGAGGAAGGAAAGTTGGAATGGAGGAGCGAGATTTGGATGGATGGGAGGACAGACATTTTGATGGGAGGAAAGAAAGTTCCTCCAGAAATTCATGGCTCAGAAGCCAAGGGCTTAGTTCTAGAAAGGCTCACAAATTCGGGCCGCCAGGAGGTTCGGAGAACCTGAGGCCGGATGGCAGGGGCCCTGTCAGGTCGTTGACTGACACGTCACTGGTAGACGGTGATTGGGGGGGAGGGGTGGGTGTGGGAGGAGGGAGGACAGTTTCAGTCGACTCAAAAAAGGATGGCAGTGGCCCTGTGAGACCGTTCACTGACACGTCACTGGTAGGCCATGATTGGGGGGGAGGGGTGGGGGTGGGTGTGGATAAGGTAGGGGGAAAAGAGAGAAGATGGTGTGTTGAGTGGCGTGCCATCAAGGGCCTGAGATGGGATGGAGAAAGGGAAGATGCCGATACGGGATGCGCTTGCTGGCGAGAGGTGGCCAGTATGGCCCCATTGAAACCTTTTGAGGCGCCTCAAAAGAACATGGCGCATGGCGCATGGCGCATGGCACATGAGATACGGCACAGCACATGGCAGGTGTAGCAAAAGGCGTACATGTCAGTGAAGACATTGGAGGAGAAGGTGGGCGGTATGGTCCCATTGAAGCGGTTGCAGCACAGGAAGCTGAGGGTGGGCATGGGGAGATACACGAATGAGAGATTGACAGAGCCGGGAAGACTTTTCGGAAGGTGGGAAGGACGACGTTTTGGTATGCATAGGGTCTACGAGGAGAGATATGATATGGAAAAGAAGAGAACAGATTGAACCTAACTGTGACGGTTTTGTGCAGATCCTCCTGTAGGGGCACAGGTGAAGCAAATTAAAAAAAAACAAAGTTGTCTTCTTTCTCTGTGTGAGGCCAACAGTTGACAGAATGATTCTGTGAGACTGACGAGCTAACAAACTAGCTGACTGACTAGGTGAGTGGTGAAGTGAGTGGTGAGGGAGGAGAGAAGTGCTCACATGGCGCTGAGGGAGGAGACAGCAGCGAGGGGAGCCAGCGACCCCGTAAACATGTTTTTTTCCAGTAGGCTGCCGTGGGGGGGGGGGGGGCATGGAATCCTTTGGGGCGGCTCAAAAGCAGCGAGGGGAGCCAGCGACTTCGTCAACATGTTGCTGTCCAGTAGACTGCCGTGGAGGGGGGGGTGCATGGGGTGCGGTGCATGGGGTGTGGTGCATGGGGTGTGGTGCATGGGGTGCATGGTTGTGAGGCATGGGGTACGGTGCATGGGGTTGTGAGGCATGGGGTACGGTGCATGGGGTTGTGAGGCATGGGGCATCTGGGGGTGTAAGCTATGGGGAGTGGGGCATGGGGATGTGGGGTGGAGGGGTAGATGGGTGTGTGGGGAGACAGTCAATACGGTGAAAAGCGAGGAGGTGTAGGTTACGCTGGCAGAGGGGTTTGCTGCTACGCTGCTCCGTGGCAGAAATGGCAGGCGAGTGGTATGATGGATGCAGGTTGATTGGCAGGATGGTGGCAGTTCATGGCGGTGCCTATGGGATGGCATGGCATGGTGTAGCATGGGATGGCATAGCATGGCATGGCGTGGCATGCAACTGCGACCCACATGGAGCTGCGACCCACATGGAGCTGCGACCCACATGGAGCTGCGACTCACATGGAGCCGAGGCTGGGCATGTTGGAGAAAGAGTTGGGGAGAGTCCCTGACAGGCGGTTCCTTGACAGTGCCCTGCACGCAGTCATGCGCATGGGATGGGCACACGCACGCACAGGCATGCGCATGGGGGGCAGTGGGCACACACACGCAGGGATGAGATGGATATGACTGAGATTAGAATGATTGAGAAAGAAGGTGAATGAGATGAGACACGAAGCTTGAGAGAAATGGTAAGATATGGGCCGACCCCAGCGTTGAAAAGCCTTCACGAGCTGCAAAACTGACAAGTGCAGTATCGGAGGACAGGACCACTCACATCACATCACATCACATCACATCACATCACATCACATCACATCGCATCGCATCGCATCCCATCACATCCCATCACATCCCATCGCATCGCATCGCATCGCATCACATCACATCACATCACATCACATCTCATCTCATCACATCACATCACATCACATCTCATCACATCGCATCCCATCGCATCGCATCGCATCGCATCGCATCGCATCGCATCGCATCGCATCGCATCGCATCGCATCGCATCGCATCGCATCGCATCGCATCGCATCGCATCGCATCACATCACATCACATCACATCTCATCACATCACATCACGTCACATCTCATCACATGGCCGCTCATATGCCCTGTTGCAATTGCTGTTTCACACGCACTGCTGCAAGCAACGGGTGGCTCACAAGTTGTAGAGATTGGTAAGGCGGCCTATAGAAGAGGGCAGAGTACCCGAGAGCTCATTATCGAACAGGGAGCTGTGAAGGCAGAGGAAGGGGAGGGGGGAGATGATGTGGAGGGAGTGCATATGAGGAGAGGGAGAGGGAAAAGATGGAGGGTATGGGTTTTGGGAGGAGAGGATGCAAAGGAAGGGAGGGAGGGAGGGCGAGGTGTGATACTGATGGAATATGGGATGGTTGGATCAAGTACGTAAGTGCATGGTGGGCGGGGCACACACGTATATGCTTGATGACACACGTACGTACAGGTCGCCGAGAGAGACCATGTTGCCAATGGCTTCAGGAAGGCTGCCGGTAAACTTGTTCAATCCCATGTACCTGGTAGGCAGGGCATGGCACGGCACGGCATGGCACGGCATGGCATGGCATGGCAGGACATAGGATGATAGCGGGTAGAGTCGAAGCCGACCCACCACAAGAATGCGATTGATGTGGACAAGGCAACTGACATGGACGAAATGCGACTGACAGGGACGAAGTGCGACTGACAGGGACGAAATGCGACTGACATGGACGAAATGCGACTGACAGGGACGAAATGCGACTGACAGGGACGCAAATGTAGTGAATGCACGGGGGAAATGCCGTCTTACAGGTAGGAGAGCTTGGTGAGCTTGCTGAAGAAGGTGGGGAAGGGACCTGAGAAGGAGTTGTTGGTGAGGTCCCTGCCATCCATGCATGCACACTCGCACACGCACACCAGTGTTCACACATTTGCAAACATGCATGCACACTCGCACACATGCATGCACACACGCGCACACATGCATGCACACACTCGTACACATGTATGCACACACTCGCACACATGTATGCACACACGCACACGCACACGCACGCACACGCACACATTCGCACACATGCATTCACGGAACCCGCAATGAGAGAGCACGTTAGAGAATTTACATGCGAGCATTAGTAGTACTGACAGATGGGCGAAGTTTACTGGCCAATGGCAGAACGTAACTGACGGCCAAACAGAAGTAAACAACGTGGGGGCCATTAACTGATAAAGGGACAACGTTAGCTGACAGAGGGCCGACGTTTAACTGAGAGAAGGACCAAGTTAAAGCGACGTTAACTGACAATAGTGTGAGATTGACAAGGTTGCCGATTTCAGAAGGGATTGAGCCACGCACATAGTTGTCGCGTAGAGTCCTGCGGGTAGCCACGGTTAAGGTGCTTCAGGCGCGGAATCCAACAAATATCTAAGGTGATTCAAGCACAGACGCTCACAGGTATTCAAGGTGCTTCAAACGCGGACGCGCACATGCATTGAAGGTGCTTCAAACGCGGACGCTCACAGGTATTCAAGGTGCACTAGCTGGAAAATCTGTGAAGGCAGCTCCCCTTGAATTGCCTTGTACTGCCAATTGCTGCAGGCACGACCGCCACAAGACAAGGCAAGAAAGTGTCACTCACACACATCTCGCACTCCTCCTGCTATTTCAACAGGAAAAATAACCCAACCTGGGCATTAGCACCCGAATGGCATGAGCACAACAGCAGCAGCAGCACTGACATTCCAGTGACGTAGCCAGCGTCGCTGCAGGTGAGGCCGACATTGACGCAGGTGGTGATAAAGGACATGTCGTACGGAAAGTAGTCCAGATTCGCTCCCACGTCCGCCAGAATACTCGCTGCGAAGAAGAAGCACCAGATTAAGCACGTTACAGTTGGGAACGCGTGAGAGCGATGTTACGTCGCATAATAAAATCGAGCTAAGGTCGTGCGATACCAAGCTGACATAGCGTGAAATACTGAAATGCGAAACCGACATTGCTTAAAATACTGAGAACCGAACCCGTCATGGGCCACGATGTCTTGAGATACTGAGGACCGAAGCTGACATTGCGTGAAACGCAGAGAGACAAAAGTCGAACAAGCGTAAAACGAAGCTGATGTCGCTTGAAAGGGTGCCGACATGCGCGAGAGGCCGTTCGAGAGAGAGAGAGCGTACCCTCCGTGGAATTGAGCGGCCAGAAGCACTGCTGCAGGCTCGTGTCCTGACCCACACTCGGCACGGCGTTACCCGCCAGTAGTAGCAGCAGCTGCAGCACAGCCGCTACCACCAACGCGCTTCCCTTGGAAGCCATCGATTCACCCGAATTACGAATCCTACGGCGGATTCCAAACCAATGTTTGCGGGAGAGTTGCGTGAATAATCTACACGCACTTTTGGCAACGACGGAAGCCGACGTGGTCCTTCAATAGTCGTTCGTAGAGGCTGTCAGGCTGTTAGGATATCAGGCTGCAAGATCAGGTGTGATGTGCAGCAAAGTAACAGCATTACTTTTTTGGAAAATTAAATATAATTTCCAAGGACTCGTCCTTGCAGCCGGAGCGTAGAAGTCGAGCCAGCAAAAAAAGTGACAAGCCTTAGAATTCAAGCCTTTTCCAGTCACTCTCATCCAGCATAAAGCTTCGACTCCGAATGAACCGTCCCCTTTCCTTTTCGAAGAGCGTTAGCGGGACCCGTGATTCATACTCTGCACGCCAAAACGCATGTGGTCGCCACGGTGGTGCACTAGTGCACAGTGCGCTGTCAGGCGAAGCGAGCTATGGTCAAAAGACGTTCCAGGTTGTTACGAATCACCGCTTCTTATTATGCGACCGCAGATGGAGTCTCTGCGACAGTGAACGATAATGCATTCTCCAATCACGGTGCATCCTCCAACGACCTCGCACGGTGACGACCAAACATGTTCAGAAGTCACTTTTATGGAGTTAGGAATGCCATCTCATACAATAGCAACATGGCAAAACACTACAGTTTCGTGCAAGCACAGAAAGCCATGGCTCCTCTACCGCGAGTTTGAAAAAGCCAGTCTGTTCATGGCCGCACGGCAGAGCAAGTGGCATGGGTCGGACTGTAGGCTCGGTTTTCAAGTGAGGAAAAAGTCTTGCTGCCAGCTGCGGCAATGCGGCGGCAGTCCGAACCCAACCAGGCCAGGGCTTGCGAAGCGATCCCAAGGCAATGTTTGGCTTGGGGCGGCTGGTAAGGAGACTGACGGCGAGCCGAGGCGAGGCTCGGAACGAATGCAACATCGAGGGAGAAAGACAACGTTCAAGATGTCCGAACCAAACCGGTTGGGCTCAACGAAATACGCTCTAAATAAATTTGTGATGCAAATTAGAGCTCAAACTTCAGAACTTTGTTCGTCTCTATTACGGGTGGAATGAATCTAAGTAGCGAGAATTGCACTAAGGTGTCAAACGAGTACAAAATGTGAGCGAAGGCATAGCAAACATTTATACGCGAAACATGCAAACGGTAACGCGGTGCGTGCGAGCTAGCTAGTGCTATGCTGGAAGCGAGGCTCGGGCTAGTCCCGAAGCGTAGGCCGACACGGCCAGGCCAGCAGTGTGAGGTTTGGTGAAACAGTGCGCGCGAAGTCGGCGAAGCCCCGTTAGCAGTAACGGGCGAACAACGGCTGCTGCTGTACGCGATGTTGCAGGGCGCGCTAAGGAATATCGAGAAAATTCCTTACACTACCCCCCCCTCAAGAAGCCCCCTCCGCTACGCGAGTGCGTGTATATCGCGCAAACCCCGGCTCCTCATGTACACTTGCAGGGCAGGGTGGTTTTCGATGTTGGCCAGGGGCACCCAGCTATCTTCAGTTGGCTTGCGATCCTTCCAGCGAACGAGGAATTCAATCTGTCAGAAGTAGTAGTAGAAAGAAAGAATGAAGAAAGGAGGATGTTCACTAGCAAGCAGTTGGACACATATAGCAAACCCTAATTGGGCTGTACTCACTATGGAGTACCCCACTGCAGGCTAGACAATTATAACATTCTGACACACCCCCATAGCCAAAGTGGGGTGTAATCAGCACAACAAGCAAGCATAGTAATAGTTCACAATTATAAGCAAAGCTAGAGGTAATCACAGCGGGCAAGTGAGGAGGAGGAGGGACTGTGAGAGGAGAGAAGATGAGAGACGGCGGCTGAAGCTGCAGACACACGGGCAACAGGAGCTGCTGGCACAGTGGCTACCGGGACAGTGCGCCCCGGACTACTGGAGTAACTGGCTCACGGGCTACGACGAGCTACAGGAGCAACGGACCCTCGGGCGACAGGCGCAGCAGAATCTCTGGGCTACCAGGACAGTGCGCCCCGGACTACAGGTGCTGCGGACGACAAGACAGCAGCCTCCGCTCAACCTCCTCCAACTGTCCCACACACCCCCCACACACCCACTGCTTCACTCCTAACTCCACTTGCACGTCACCCCCCTAGTACCACTCCTTCGGCTCCCACACACCCACCCCCCTCAGCGGCAGCTGCAGCACTGGGAGACGGAGGAGGAGGAGGAGCAGGGGACGACGCACAGAAACTGCACCCCCATACCCCCCACCCCCAAACCCTAATTCAGGAGAACGGGCAGCAGCAGGGGTGGGGCGCCGTCAGAAGCACGGGGGACAGCGGGCAGCGCAGGGGAAGAGGAAACAGGGCGCCCACGGGCCTGGCGCAGCCCGTACGAACCGCGTGCGGGCGGCCCGAGGCGCGCCCTGGCCTGGCGCAGCCCGTACGGGCCGCGCGCGGGCCTGGCGCTGCCCGTACGGGCCGCGCGCGGGCCTGGCGCAGCCCGTACAGGCCGCGCGCGGGCCTGGCGCAGCCCGTACGGGCCGCGCGCAGGCTGTACGGGCCGCGCGCGGGCCCTACGCAGGTCGCGCAGGCCGCGACGGACGACGGGGGGCGACGCGCGGGTCCCCGTCGCCCGTCGCAGCGCCTCCCGGGAGCGACGCGCGGAGTGACGGGGCAGAAAGCCGCCGCGCGCCTCGGGGCGCACGGCGGGCGCACGGCGGGCAGAAAACCGCCGCACGCTCCGAGCGCGCGGCGGGATGAAAAATCCGTCGCACGCCACGGGGCGTGCAACACACAGAGTAGCAGTAGCAACGGAAGCAGTGAGGTGGTGGGCCCACCCACAGGATCGACCCAAGGGGATCGACCTGCTCTGATAGCTTATCAGAAGTAGTAGTAGAAAGAAAGAATGAAGAAAGGAGGATGTTCACTAGCAAGCAGTTGGACACATATAGCAAACCCTAATTGGGCTGTACTCACTATGGAGTACCCCACTGCAGGCTAGACAATTATAACATTCTGACACAATCCTCCTGATTCCCGTGGGGTGTCGAATCCGATGGCTCAGGATTTTTTTCGGGTTCGATGATCGGTTCCGATGCAGGGCGAGTCATGGATGGCGGGCGGTGACGAGGCAGTTGGCTTGTGGTTGTGATGTATGGGCGAAGCAGGCTGACGTGGAACGAAGGGCTGGTGTACCAGTCCGTCGTCAACAGTAAGTGGGCTGTCATTGCGGAGAATAGGCGATTATGGGAGAGCCTAGGCGCAGAGTTGCAAAGCGGATGGTTGTAAACCGAATACTGACTTGTGGAAACCGAATACTGATGCCAATCTTGGTATGCAGTAATTGAAGGAACGAAGCTGATTAATTTATTAAATTGATTGATTACAACAGAAACAACATGAACCTTATAGAGAAGCATAGAGACGTGTGCAAGAACGTTCTACGAGAACGTTGTTCATGAAGAACGTTGTTCAAGGAGAACGTGCAAGCACCTACTCTAGTATGCGGTTCCAGGTTGGGACCGCCAGGTGAAAATACCATCAGGTGAAAATACCGTTAAGTGTATTTCTACCTGCCCAGGAGTAGTTGCGCAGGTTCTTGCAACACTGACAGTTGCACATACGCGTTTGTGCAATGTCGTCACTTCCCTGGTCCAATGTCGAAATGTGCATACCGAAGCGCACAGATTGGAGTGTACTTGGCGAATACCGAAATACTGGTAAAACCGGTATGCGGTATGCGAAGCCTCGCTACTCCGCATAGGGCTGCTACACGCGAAACCAGGCGCATGCAGGGCTTCGCCTTAACACTCCCTGTCAAACTCTTATACTATAGTCTGTGTAGGCTGTAGTGGGGTAGACAATATGGGGTACAACACTTTTAGGTTTTCCTACTTGTACCCACCTGCTTGCTAGTTCATTCATTCCTCATTCTTCACATGGTATAGAGCAGGTTCCCTCGTGGGAACGCTTCTCAGGGCCCACCACCTAACTCGATCTTTTTTTCCTGCCCGAGGCGCGCCCCGTAGGCCGCCCTCACGTCGCGCCCTCCTAGTGGCCCCTCGGGCCACCCTTAGCGGCCCCGTCGCCGTCCTTTCCGGCCCCGTCGCCGCCCCTCTAGGCCCCTCACGGCCCCTTCGCGGCCCCGTCGCCGCCCCTCTAGGCCCCGTCGCCGCCCCTCTAGGCCTCTCGCGGCCCCTTCGCGGCCCCGTCGCCGCCGCTCTAGGCCCCGTCGCCGCCCCTCTAGGCCCCTCGCGGCCCCTTCGCGGCCCCGTTGCCGCCCCTAGCGGCCCCGTCGCCGCCCCTCTAGGCCCCTTACGGCCCCTTCGCGGCCTCGTCGCCTCCCCTCTAGGCCCCGTCGCCGCCCCTATAGGCCCCTTTCGGCCCCTCTGCGGCCCCGTCGCCGCCCCTAGCGGCCCCGTCGCCGCCCTTCGCGGCCACCTCGCCGCCCTTCGCGGCCCCGTCGCCGCCCCTAGCGGCCCCGTCGCCCCTCTTCGCGACCCCGTCGCCGCCTCTAACGGCCCCGTCGCCGCCCTTCGCGGCCCCGCCGCCG